TCCGTCTAGTGAGGTTCCCCCAAGGCCAATGAGAGAAAGGCACTTAGGTGTTTGTTCAGCGGTTGCAGGGTGGATGGGAGGGTGGACAGGGTTGGGACTGTATTACGGTGGCAGAGGCCAGATGGCAGTGGTTTCTCCATGGCCCTGAGTGAGTCAAATCACTTTAGCCTGAGTAATGGCACCACAGCCCCAAGCAGGGATGGGCTGGCCGGTGTGATATCTGGCAGGAACTCCCCACACCCTCCCATCAGCCCGGCTTACTATAGAAGGATGACTAACATATGACGTCCTCTCCTCCAGAAACTACTTGTGACCTGCTGTTAGTCCACTGAGGTTGAAAATAATGTCCATTTATGTCCCTCTCCCCTCACCTCTACTCCCCCTGTGTTGGCCCATAAGTAGGAAAAACAATATATCCACAGTGTCTCAATGGCTGGTAAGAGGGTAAAGCCATCTATCTATAAAAAGTATAATATGTGAATTAGACCAGACGTCCTTCTGGATGTCCTTCTGGATGAAGCCAAGGCTGTAAGGGCCAAGTCAAGCTGCCATGATTGTGAGGGCCAAGCCCCTTGCACAAATTTCATGTATCGGGCTTCTAGTATATATATAAAAGCCTAATATGCAAATTGTCCCCACAGAAGTTCAACCAGGAGACTGATCGCTTGGTATGACATGTGCTGATCACCAGGGGGTGGCAGAGAATGAAGGGAGGCCCCAGCCAGTGGCCAGAAGGACCTATCAGCCCTGATTGCCAGCCAGGCCTAGGGACCCTATCTGTGCACTAATTTTGTGCACCAGGCCTTTAGAAGATTTATATCAACAGGAAAGATAACTTCTGTTGCAGCCACAAGGGTCCAGTCAATGTCCTTTTTGAGACATACATGCCAATCCTATTCAAAGACCCAAACCTAGAAGGTTTTGCTCATTTGGTAGATAATGAAATTATATTTGAAAAGTATCTCCCTCAGGTGGGATAATGAGTCATAAACAACTAGATAAAATTTAGCCAGATAAAATTTATGTTAAAAAGAAAAAAATCACAACTAAAGGATGGCATTTGAATTTTTCACTGAAAGTCAAGTCAAAAAGGAAATTCTGGGGTTGTAGTTGACTGCATGCTTAAGGTAAGTCAAAGCAGGATGCAGTCATTTTTTAAAAAAAACAACTTCAGGCTGCAGTGACAAATGGGGCATGGTCAGAAGACAGAAGCGACTCACTGCCCTCTGTGCTGCTCTAGACCATGTTGAGTCTGGGTTCTCAGCCCCCACATTTTATCAAGATCTTTAACAATCTAGAACAGTTCAGAAGGGATAACTGGGGCTTCTGGAAGCCAGGTCAGCTAAGAGTGAAAGTAGAAAAAGATGTTTAGCCCCTAAAGAGACTTGATGACCACTGTGAGACATACCTATTTGTCTTCCAGAGTGAGTGGACATTTCTGGATTGTTCCAGACAAAGCTAGAACAAACGGGGAAAAGATGTGGGGAGGGCCACTCTCCTGCAGCGTAGTCTAACAGTAGCAACTTCCCGGCAATGGAACGTGCAGCTCAGGGAACAGTGAGCTTCCTGGAAACACTCCAGCGGAATGGCCACGGTGCTGCAGCGCAGGTTCCATCATCTCTTCCATCTGGAATCCTCCGATGCAGTGTCTGTCCAGTGGTCCTGCCGCATTTTGTTCTGTGGTTTGTGAATAAGCCGAGGAAGAGAAGAATGGAGCCCATGGAGGGAGTTTGCTGAGACTGGAGGAGAGGAATCCAGGAGTCAGGTCAGCCTCTGCCTTGAGGGTGAAAACGCCATCTGGCGACACCCCGAGAGCAACTCGGAAGTGGGACTGCTGCCCTCCCCATGTCACCCTTGCCTTCTGGAGGCTTTTGTTTGCAGGGTTTGTTTTTCAAGGCAATTGCTGCTGCAGCTGAGCCCTGTGCAACAGGGCTTGCCTCGTCCCTGGATGTCCTCGGGAGGTCAGTGAGCAGAGGGCACAGGCGCCCGCTGGTGCAGGGAAGCTGAGTGGCCAAGGGCAGTCAGGCAGGCGGAGCACAGCTGGGTGGGCATGCACAGAGGGCACCCTGGCTCTGCATTGGAGAAAGCTTGGCCTGACACACTTCCCACTCAGTAGAGGTATTTTGTTGAAAGCAGAACAGATGACAAAGCCAGCTGCACATTTCAGGTGAGCAAGTTGCCACGGAAAGCCTCTCTGCCTGGCCAGGGGCAGAACGTGCCCCGAGGCCCCAGACCAAGGGGATGCTGCCTCCCGGGCCCTCCCCTGGCCCTGCCTGGAGGCTCCTCCTCGGCCAGCTCAGGGGAAGGAAAGGCTCTCTCCCGCCTCGGAGGACCAGCCCCTTTCAAAGGCTCTCCCTGTCCCTGGCTGCGCCAGGGCTGCTTTAGCTCCTCTTGGGACTGAATCCTCATGGTGATTATGGCTTATGGCTCCTTCCTCGCCTCATCTTTTGCTTTCAAATTCTTTGAGGCCTCTCATTAAACATGACGATCCGGGTAAAGTAGTGGAGTTTTAATAGCACATTTTTAAAAACCAAAGCAAGCCCAGAATAGATTGTTACTCTATGGTCTCCGATGCTCCTTTAAAACTAGGTGAGGCACGACTGGCGCCTCGACAGGAGGGGCAGGGAGAAAGAAATCGGGAGCAGGGGACACCCATACTTTCCCACAAGGCTGGAGACCCTCCTTCTCCTCTGCACCAAGAGCACGGTGCGGCTAATCCCCATCGGGCGGGGCTCCAGGACCCGGCCTTGCCGCTGCACAGGTCACCTTGGGAAATGGCGATGGAGCAGCCAGTGGAAACCTCAGCCCACCCTTGTCACCTGCAGCAACACTGCAGCAGCCCCGTGGGGATCATCTGATGGGTCCTCGCGCCTGGAGGACACAGGCCACGCCAGGCCGGGCATAATTCTAAAGGTGGAGAGGAGTCTGTCGTTAGGTCTGTGAGCCATCACCGTCCAGCGGTCCTGCTGCGAGGTTTCCTTGGTAATGACACGGCTGCAGAGCCCACCCTGTGCGAGCCCTCAATCCGAACTTTCCTGCTGTTTCTAGACCTACTGGGAAGGGTCTAGGCATTCTGGGAAGGGTCACCAGGAAAGGGTGCAGGTAGGGTAATGGGGTGCTTCGCTCAGGTTGGGTGATGGGCCCCTTCCTCTCCCTTCTGCCAGGACACACGCTAACGCACAGCGAGGTGCCTCTCGCCCTGGCAGGCATGTGTTTGGAGAGGCTCCCACTGGCCCCTCGCGGCTGCCTGGCCTGAGCCGTCCCGCCTGGCCTGAACCTGTCAGTAGCCAGCCACGTGGGGTGACTGAGCACCACCAACCAGCCGGGGTTAATGCTGTCCAAAACCTGGCAGCAACATCCCCCCATCGGCTTCTCACCAAGACTGCAGGTGACCTGCTGGCTTTGCCCATGGGACACAGCGTCCCTTCCATGCCCACCAGAAGGGAGAGAAGTGGGCTCTTTTGAGACGGAAGCCCCGGTTGCACCCTATCCCTCCACCTGATGCGGGAGTAAGACCCTGAGAGTCACCCAGCTGCCCGGTGGGTGTAAGGAAGCACACTGCACCGAGTGGCGGTTGGCATTAACTGAGGAGTGGCTTCCATTTCTTGGGGGATCGTCGTGTTATATACTATGGGCATTGGTGTCATGCTGGGCTTGGCTGGAGGGGACTCTGGTTCTACTCCAGCCCTACCACTCAGCTTGGTGGCCTAGGCGGCTCAGTTCCCTCCTCTGTAAAGAGAGACGAGGAAATGATTAGGTGGCAGAAATACATGAGGTGCTTAGCACAGTGTTTGCAGTGCGTGTGCTCAGACATAGTTCCTTATATTATTATTTTCATTATTATGATCATCTGCAGCCCATGCTTAGTTTTATGACCTTATTTAATCCCCAACAGTATTCTGCGAGGTAGGTGTCATCATGTTTACTTTGTAGTTAAAGATGGGCAGTGGGTATCTCATCTATGCCAATGCGTGCCAAGCACATTCGTTTATTACAGCGAGCAGCTCCGTGCACCGTTCAATAAGCACGAGCTATTTTTGTGGGCTTATTTGTAATGCTGACCCAGAGAGCCGCTCTCTGCTTCCCCGGGGAATGGAGGGACTGTGGTGCCAGCAGGCCAACCTCAGCCCTGTGGCCGATTCCCAGGGTCCCCCAAGTCCCTCCTGGGAGCTGTGTGGAGAGCCACTGGGCATGCCGCATACATTGTCAGGATCTGGCACGGCTGCCCTACTGAGGCGCAGGGCCCCAAGACACAGGTCAGGCACAGGAGCATGAAACCCACCCTCCAGGTGTAGCCTTGGGCGCCCAGGAGGCCCCTTCTTCCCAGAGGCCATCTCCTCCCAGCTCACTGCCCGCCTGCGGCCGCCTGAGCCAAGCAACCTCCCCAAGCCCACGTGCTCCATTCGCCAGGCGGACAGAGGCGCCTGTTTCTTACCCGCGTCCTACAAGGTGGGGCTGTGGGAGGCATCAGGCCCCGGTGACAGGATGCCTTGAAATCCCAGTGAACCAGACCCTGGAGTGCGCTCCTCCTGCTCGTAGGATTGACAGACACAGAAGCCGAGAGGCCGTTTCCACGACACAAATGGCCCCTTCCTGGGAAGAATTCAGGTTTTCTACATGTGCCTTAAGGGAAATAAATGCTGTCCGTCCGTCCGCCGTGTGTGTCGGAGACTGGCATGGTACGGGCCTGATGTTAAGCTTGACGGCCCATCGGGCACCTTGCATGAGATGCTTATGTACGCGGCATGGGCATGTGACAGCTGCATCCATGGTGCCTGTGCTGCCTGCCTCAGAGGCGCCTCCCTGTGCAGTGTATGGTGCGTGTGTGACATACGCTGCAGACCTGCATGTTGCCTGTGCATGACCGCCCGCCGCCGACTGCATGCCCGCCGCCGCCGTGTGCGCTGCCTGGGCCGGGGCTCCCCCACAGCCGCAGGTCTTCCTGGTTGCAGCTGGATAAGTGATTCTTCACTTCCCTTCCTAAACACACACTTGCCCAGTGCTGCTGGCGCAGAGTCAGAATGGCCGCTGCGTTTCACCCCCGAGGCGGCTTCCTTCCAGCAGCGGGTGAGTGACCCCGGCGTGCGCACTCTCTAACCTCCTCTTGGACCCTCCTGCACGGAAGGTGCTGCGGGAGTCCGAAGAGGTGACTCTGTTTGTCCCGGCCACCCCTCCTGCTTCCTCACCCTCGCTCCGTGGACAGTCGGCGGCACCCATTGCTGGGTGTCTGATTTTTTCCTGCCCGTTTTTTAGGCACCCATAGTATTTTCCACTAGCAGCTGAGGGTCCCTTGTCCCAGAGGCAATGCCCCTTTAGGTGTTGATCCTTGAACTCGCTCCTCCTGGACCCCATGCAGGACAAGACAGACATGCCCATCACCTTTGAAGATGCTTCTGAGCCCACAGCAGCATCCTTAGGCTTCCCCGCCCACATACGGCCTCCACAACTGTCACAGCTTCCCTACCCGCCCTGGCCCACAGCCAAGTCCGGCAGGAACCTGGCAACCACGTGCTACAGCGCTGGTTCTAATTGGAGGAAGGCGGGTGGGCCTGCCCCTCCACAGGGGAGAAGCCTGGACAGCCACCCACCCCCTGTCCCCCAGTGCCACAGCGACACGGGCAAAGGGTCTGAAGGGAAGCAGGAGGGTTCCCTGTGTCTAGGAATTCCCTCAGCCAACTCTCTCTCCAGAGATCTGAAAAATGCTGCTTGACCTGCCCCCTGCTGCACCCTTTCAGTTGGAAATACATGTCTGACACAGGCTGCCGGACTGCATTCTGGGTGGCAGGGAGGAAGGAGAGGTGAGCCGGCCCTCTTTGCATAGGTGTCCAGGGGGACGTGGACGTTCATGGAAAGATGGTGCTTTGGGGAGAGGAAGGGGGGGTGTTGTGGGGTGGCCAGCATGTTGACTGCCTGTGCCTCCAGTGCTCGCCTTGGCCAAGGACCCAACCAGTGGACATGATTTGGGTGGATGTGTCTGCAGGGGATGAGAGGTGCCCCGGGGAGAGTGGAGTTAGAGTCCTATTGGTCCTCGGGAGAATCACACACGGCCGAGCAAGTGATTCCTCCTGCTGCCTCTTCCACTAAACTCCAGCCGCACTCTCCCCCCTCCCCCCAATCCATAGTCAGGGATCACTTGAACTTCCTCGTTGGAAAAAAGTAGCATCAAGTTGTTGCCAATAGCAACAAAAAGTCCATTTCCTTGCGCGATTTGACCTTTGCCTAATTTGGAGTGAACCGGAGCTGAGATGCAAAGTACATGTGCGGAGGAAGAGAGGGCGAGGCAGGCACTGCACAGGCTAGCGGAAGGCATGCTCCTGAGGGCGCCAGTGAGGGGACTGCCCGCCTCTGCTCCACTTCTCCTGAGTCCAAGGACTTCCTGTGAGCTGAGCACCTGCCCGCTCAGTCAGAACTGGAGGCAGGAGCTAGAGATCCGGCAGCAGCAAGGGCCCATTTCTCCCGCACCAAGAGAAGCAGCAACAGGAAAGTGAGAACGCACAGCTTGAAAAGGATGCCCGGGCATCTGGGCCTGGGCACGGTGCCACTGGTGTAGGGCACAGCTGCTGAGGCTTGGCACGCCTGGCATGCCCGCCTGGTTCCAGATCTGTCCCTGCACTGCTGGAGGCCATGAAGAAGGTCTCTCACCACCCACCAGAACTAGCAGGCAGAGGCTGGCCTGTGCAAAGAGCCCTGTAAGGGATGAGAGTGATGGGAGGCGGGAGGCAGAGATGCCAGGAATGACACCCAGGGAGGACTTCTCCAGCCTGGCTTGGACACCCTGGTTTCTTACTTTCACATTTTATTTTGCTGAAGAGCTCAAGCTTTGTTTTTTATTTTTGTTTTATCACATGAGGATATGTTTTCAATGACTTGTAATATGAGAGGAAGGACGAGAACAAGAGAGAAGGGGAGAGAAGGAGAGAAGAGGGGGTGGGGGGCAGAGAGAGAGAGAGAGAGAGAAACATCAATCAGTTGTCTCTCATGTGCATCCCAACCAGGGATCAAACCACAACCTGAGTATGTGCCCTAACTGGACATAGAACCCATGACCTTTTGGGGTACCGGATGATGCTCCAACCAACCAGTACACCCCAATGTAGGCACTGGGTCCTCATTGGAGTAAGGCAGCTCTGGCTGCCCCTCCTGAGAGAGGTAAACATTGCATCTGCTTCTGTGCTCCCTGGAACACTTGCTGTGGCCATCCCAGAGGCACTGGCACCAACAGCACAGGCCACAAGTACAAAATGGCGACTCTCCTGGCTGTGCAACAGCCACCACTGGTATAGTGTGGGTGGGCACGGAGGAGTCCTTGCTCCCTGAGCACTGCCATCTGCCTCCTTTCTGAGAGGGATGGCATCTACAAATAGCAGGCCTGTGGGTTGTGAAGGCCGGCCCACTCAGCCCTGCCTCTGACCAGCTCTCAGGAACTCGGCTCAAGCTCTAGCTGAGCCTGTGGCCTCATCTGTCCAGTGTGGGGTAATGTAATATCCATGTGGCAAGGCCGGTGTGGGCATTAGCACAGGTGTCCGAAATGTCCAGAGTGCTTGACACATAATAGCTGCTCAACGCTCAACCAATGGTGACTGTCAGTAGCTGTCCTCACAGCCCACCTGTGTCCCCATGAATGAGACCACCCCCACCCGCCACCACCAACGTCTGGGCGAGCTGAAGAGGAGGGCACTTGAGAAGGGAGGGTCCATGGGGTATCAGTGCCCCCCATGGAGCTGGAATAAGAAATTCACAGAGAGCCAAAATCTGTTTGGCTCAGTGGATAGAGCGTCAGCCTGCGGACTGAAAGGTCCCAGGTTCGATTTCAGTCAAGGGCATGTACCTTGGTTGTGGGCACATCCCCTGTGGGGGGGGTGCAGGAGGCAGCTGGTCAATGTTCCTCTCTCATCGATGTTTCTAGCTCTCTATCCCTCTCCCTTCTTCTCTATAAAAAATCAACAATATATATATTTTTTTTTAATTTCACAGAGAGCATCCCTGGGAGACCAGGGGACAGGCTGGTCCTTTCAAATTTAGTTCAGACGGGAGGGCTGGCAGCTCACCTTTTCTAAATTAAATTTTTCGAAGGAATAAAAAGCACTGACAATGCAGGCTAGCATCAGGTACCTGAACCTGCCCTGGTCCCAGTGACATTTTGTGAGAATTGCTTTCAGAAGACGTGATTGCTGGCAGGTTCCACAGAATGGAAAAACCTGCTCGTTTATGGGGCCAAACCTGATTGTTTACAATCACTATTCTATACCTAAGACCGTGGGTTGTTGAGAATCTGTCATTTTATTTTAATCATAGTCCTTATTTTTTTAAACAGGTTCACATGTATACAAAAGTAGGTTAATTCTTCAGCCAGCGAACTTTTAAAAATTAATTCAATTTTCACCTACTCTTGATTTTTTTTTTTTTTAAATTGGGTGGTTGTTTTATGTTTGTGGTCTCTCACTTTGTAAAAGTCAAGTAAAGAGAATATTTTAAAAGCAAATAAAATCCCCGTTAGCTCCTGAGAGAGATCAGAAAGCGTGGGGAGGGCCGGGAAGAACACGGGTCGGGAGTGGATGTGGCTGCGGGGCTCCTGCCCCCACAGCTGTGGAGGGGCGGCCAGAGGCAGCCTCGCCGCCTCCCACGCCGCTCGCCCTGCTCCCCCACTCCGCTGTGGGTCAGCAGGGGGCGGGCGATCTTTGGCTTGTCCCATAGCCTTGTTTTCCAGTTACATCTGCCCCCCTTGCCTCACAGAGTTCAATAGAAGGTGACAAGCGATCATGAGGTGGAAAGTTTTTTTGAAACTCTTCTGTGTTAAGTATGGATTTCTCTGCCATCCCCTGCCAGAGTTGCTCAGACCTCTGAACTATCCCAAGCAAATCTTTCCCCGATTTAAACATCATCAGGAAAGGATTTGCCACAGAATTCCTCATACGCCCTTTTGAAATGATTCTTTCGCTTTGCTCAGTGGAGAAGGGGTGCCAGGGGCACCAACCTCCAGGAAAGTCACCGATGATGTCAGGCAGGTCCTCGGCTTCCCCCCCTCCTGCCACACCCAAGCCGGGCTCTACCTGTCCCCCTGGCTCTTAGGCTCCTGGCTGCTCCTCTCAGCAAGCTTCCCCCCGCGCTGTGACTGCGCACACACTCATCAGTTATAAACCTGAGCGTCCCCTCCTCCTGGGTGACCTTCAGCCTCCTTGGGAGGACAGCTCAGCTCTGGGGCCTCCCACTCCTTGTCTGCCGAGGTCACTTGGTGAGCCCTGTTCAGCAAAACACCATTTTTCATTAGCGAAGATGAAAACGCCTGTGTGTTCCAACAAGGTGACCAGTTTGAATCAATGGGGACTAGAAACAGTGTGCTGCATGCCTTCGGTTGCAACTTCTAGTTTCCTGAACTGGAGAACCTGGCTCTCTCCTATTCTGGGGGCGGCAACTGAAAAAAGTAAGGAGTGGGGAGTTTCAAAGCAAAATGTGATAACTGGGATGTCTTCCTAATTTTTTTTCTTTTGAATTATAACTACATATAGCAACGTGAGCACATCTGTAACCTATACCCCATCCCCCCAGAAACTTCCCTCAGGCCCCACTCCCGTCGACGTTGTCCCTCCCCCAGAGTGGGCGTAGACCTGGTGGGCCTAGATCTGTAACTTTGGTCTGAGGTCATCTGGGCAAATCAGCAAGAGAATCTCATCGGCAGCTCTGAGGTCTTTCCCCACCTTAGCGTTGAGAAGCCCCTGGCTCTGCTGCCCCCAATATGCCCTCTGACCCCGGGGCTACTTTCTGCACCACAGCCCTTTGCCCAGCCAGAAAGTATAGCACCCGTCTCCCAGGTAAGTGGCGACGGGTCTTGGTAAGCGGGATCGTGCATGTTGGTTGATTACATCTGCAGGTGCGATGCCCAGAGCCACAGCATGCCCATCCGCATGTCCATTTTCCTTAAAGCACTGCTCAGAAGGGAGCCATTCCTTCTGTGCCTTTCCTTTCAGAAACAAAGGGTTTCGTGAGCACCTTCCTGCAGGCTTTTAGCTGGCAAGATGGCCACAGAGCCAGGGGTGGGGACTGGACCTGTGGGTGCTTGTGAGCCTGTGGCCCGTGAAACTGAAGGATCCCAAATCCCATCGGATTAAACTTTAACGAAGGTCGCGAAGGTGAAAAGCGCTTTGTCCATATGCAAAGCTTTGATGTCTCTGGAATGTACCTTCCGAGGCTCCGTCCTCAATCACTGTATGTGTTCCCACTCGGACAAAGGCTGCTGCTAATAGCCTTTCCCACCACCTTCAGCTGCTGCGCTCAGCTGCCAAGGCCTCAGCCGGAGCTGGCTGCCGTTTCCTGGCACCATCGTCCGCTCCCAGCTGACTGGCTCTGAGGAACATCACACATTCAGACCCCGAAACTCTGCTCTGTGGCAAGCAGAGGCAGGATCCCTGCTCCCCTCCTAAGTGCTTCCTACAGAAACGCCCAAACTGGGGGAGAAAGAGGAGCCCTGGAGGAAATGGGGGGCGGGGGGAGCTCTCCTCTCTCTCTCTCTGGGCAGAGCAGCAAGCCACCACCACCCACCCACTCCCAGCCGCATCCAGCTTGAATCAGCTGAACACAGGTAGCCTCTGCATCAGATTTCACTTTGATCCCCGGCAACTTCAGGGATCTCAGCACTTCAGAAGGCTGAGCCAGAGTGATTGCAGGATTTCTTCCCCGAAGCCCAAGGCCAGGCATCCAGCCCTGCCTGCGTCCTGCATGAGTAACCACCTTCCAGCCTCACCCGGGAGGTCACCGCGTAGAAGACAGATGGCAGCTGGGCTGAGCTGCGTCTCCCCCCTTCTTCCTCCCCCCCTCCGCCCCCCGGCAGCCAACCCGAACCCTCCTGACCTCCTTTAGCAGCAACTGGCATTTGGCAAATGCCTACGCGCAGGAGTGGGGAGAGGGAGAGAGAAATGCCAGAGAGCACCACTAGGATTGCGTGTTCTCCAGGCTGGTCAGCTGCACCCCCTGCCCCTGACGCCGGGAGAAATAGAAGCAGCCGAGGGGAAGGCGGGGGCAGGATTGATGGGCTGGCCACAGGTCCTTGGAGTCACAGCCGTGCGCCTGAGCCCCAGGATGGAGGCAGGAAGAGATTAATTAGAGCCTCCAAGCCTAGCCCAGCCCACTCCATAGAGCTGAGAGATATGGAGGATGGGGGGCCTCAGGGTCAAATTCAGCTGAAACAAATGGACAGCCACACAGTCCTCCAGAAATAGAGTCTCCAACCTCCCTCCACCCGCAGACCCCTCTCTCCAGCCAAAATGACCTCATAATGAGGAAGCCGCTGTAATGAGGGTTTGGATGCCCCGTAGCTCACCTTCTTTGTCTCTGAGCTTTTAGCATAGCACTGGACACAGACTGTGATGGGGAAGCTTTAGTGATCCCACCACCCCCTCAGGTCTGCCCACTAAATCAGGGGCCCGAATGCTGTGTATGACAAAACTGGAACATATGTATCTGGGGACATAATGTGTCATTTGTGGCCCTGGTGGAGGAGGGATGGAAGCAGGGGGAGCCGGTATCTGGTGGGTGGTTACCACAGTGACAAGGAAGAAAGCAAAATTCCTTGGTGCCTCTCATAGGAGCAGGGATGGACATGGGTCAACAGGGTGGGGGAGGTTTGTTAGAACTCTCAGACCACAGGGTTCCCAGACTCATCAGCCCCACATTTCCCCAGAGAGGAACACACACACACACACCATGCTTTCTGCCTTCAGGCCTGCTTTGAGAAGGCACAATCCCAGGTGTACCCACTGAATGACAAATGCCTGAAGCTCCGTCTAAGAAAGGGCAGTGAAGGAGAGTGCAGCTGAATGTGCCTCAGCATCCAGGGCCGGGGGCCTTGAAGGCCTGCTCTGCCTTCCGCCAGCTCGAGCTGAACCTGACCCACTCTGCACAGAGGCATAGCCGCCTGCTTTTAGTGATTTGCAAAGACTGGCATCGTAACCCTCTAGGATTAAAAAAAAAATCTGATTTAAAAATCCTTAGCCTAGTATAAATGTATCCTGCTGCAGGCGAAGTTCGGTGTATCTGAAGATCTGAATAGATAAGGTTGCTGATGGGGAGATGGTGTGCATGTGTGTGTGTGTGCATTTTAAGAGGAGCAAAAACGAGAAGTTTGTCTTACTAGTGAAAATGAGGAGTCAAAGACCTAGCTTGTTTGCCTCATGATAGAGCATAACTGAAGGGCCCTGGGTTGGATTCCCAGTCAGGACATGTGACTGGGTTGCAGGCTCGATCCCCTAGTAGGGAGGCATGCAGGAGGCAGCCGATCAATGATTCTCATCATTGATATTTCTCTCTTCTTCTTCCTTTCTCTCTGAAATCAATAAAAATTTATTTTTTAAAAGAAAATGAGGAGTGAAAGAAAGTGATGATGGTGAGAGAAAGGAGGAGGAGAACAGGAGGAAGAGCACACTTTCGGATAGCCCCTGAGAGCAGTGCCAATTCCGGACCAAGTGCCCATCCATGCCCTCAAAGTCACACTGCCGTGTTCCTCTTTGGAGCACTGAGGCAGGTGACACGCGGTCCTGTGTCCAGTCACAACGGATGCTGTTCGATGGTTAGATACGCCCATTATTCATCAATTTGTCAATCAGAAGGTTTATTGAGTACCTTACCAGGCTTCACAGGCCTGATCAATTCTTTTAATTACATCCAGCTTACATGCAGCCAAGCCCAGCAAACAAGCTGAGCCCTCGTACCCCACTTAGAAATGACCATGAGGAACTGCTGGCCCTTGCAAACTCGGCCGCCGTGCTGACGAGCCAGCGTGTGCTGCCCTTGGCGGATGGCAATGGTGTCACTGACCCTGCCAATAACAGGATGGGTTCTGAGTGTTTTCTCAGACATGATGATCAATCGGCCTGGGTCTCATCCAGGCCCCTGTCCAATGCTATGGATTTATGTGGAGGGGAGCGGGAACTGGACACAGGCATGTGAGCCTCTCTCAGTCCGGTTCCTTGTCTTACTTTCCAGGAAGAGCTGCTCCATCGGTTGTTCGGGAAGGAAGGGCAGGTGGCACTCCTGATGTGAGGCCCTGGGTACTGCAGAGAGGGAGCCAAGAATATAGGAGGTGGCAGGAGCGGGCTGTCCGAGGCCCACGGTGGCACGTGGTCACCTGTTCTCCGAGCCATGACCAAATGCCACTCTCATCGTCCAGAGCTGGGTCATCAAGAGGACCCAGAGCTTGTGTGCCTCTCCTGCGTTTCAAATAGGCTTCCTGGCCCTCTGCATTCCTAAGACTGCTAGTTCATTCTTTAGTTTCCAGTCACCCAGTTGCTTAGCCGCCATCTATGTGGGTCAGCCCACTCTCCCATATCCGGCCACTCCCCAAGCCATCTATCTTGTTCTTGCTCACTTAAATAAAATCAAGTTCAGAGTCAGCCCACGGGCATTGAGAGACGCTCGGCTTAGAGCTGAAATGCCTGGTTTGGGGTAAGTAGAACTCCCACACCTCAAAAAGAGTGCCAACAGCACACCCTGCCTCCCTCCCTAACCTGCCCAGACTCCCGGTTGCTCCAACTGTCTGCAGTGCAGGCCCCCAAACCCAGAGATCAGAGGGGGTCTGTTCGCAAAGTCCTTTGGCCAACATGGCTCATGCAACAATTAATTCACCTGTCTGGCTCTCTGTCTCTGTCCCTCTGTGTGTGTGTGTGTGTGTGTGTGTGCACCTGTGTGTGCCTCTCTGTCGCCTGTCTCTGCAGGGAAAGTCGCTGGCGGGCAAGCGCCTCACCGGCCTGATGCAGTCCTCCTGACGGTTCCCGCCACAGGGCCCGGGCCCGAGGACCACGGGGGCAGGAGGCGGCGCTCCACATCCACGGACAGAGTGTCCTTGCGGGGAGACTTGGTCACTGTGACAGAGAGCGAGGGCCATGAAGGGCGGCCACGGGGAGACGTGGTGGGGGAACAGGAGGACCTGAGAGAAAGTTCACAGAACCTGGGGTTGGCCCGGTAGAGGCCCCTGTTTACAACCCTCCATCCTTGTACAGCTGTGCGCGACACCCCTCTCTCTAGGAGGCCCTTGTCCCTCACTCGTTCAGGGGAGACCTTTCTTATGGGGTGTGGTGACTGTCACTTGAGATATATTCTTCTATCGTCACTCGTCCCTTTGCCTGGGGATCATGCCATCCGGCCGAGGCAAGAAGAACCAGCTGGCCCTGCCCACACCCTGTGTTACGTACCGTCCCCATTGTCTCTCTGGTGCACCCACAGCACCCAACACAGCTGTAGCCACTGCATCCCCACCGCCTCCCGCCTCCCCCGTCTTTGTGGCCACCCACTCTCATGCCACACGTCCCAGTCACGTCGTCAGCACGGAGCAGGCCCCGGAGGCCACCTTCTGGAGAGGCGCCCGCAGGCACACTGGCCACCTTTGGGTCCTGGAGGCCGTCCCGCGGGTCCAGTGCCAGAAGCACCAGCACAGGTGGAAAAGCGTGCGGCTTAACAGATTCTGACCATCTCTTTAAACATGTGTGGTTTCATAATTTATGGTTTTCGCCCATTTTCCTTGGTTTCTTCCCTCGTGTTTTACTCAAAATAAACATGGCCATGGACTCAGGGGCCCTTGGGATCCTCCCGGCAGCAGCCCCAGTGGAAACTGGGAGAGCTCCCAGCAGGGGTGCTGCTGGGTCACAGGGATTGTGGCTTCCTGGTGGGCGTGGCCAGGCTCCTGCCGGGCTGGGCTCAGTGCTGTGTGAAGCTGGATGGGACTTGGCTGCAGAGGGACTGGACCAGGGCCAGTAATCCTCTGACAGCCCACAGAGGCACCCATGAAACAACGCCGGTCATCGGTCATCGAGGGGAAAAGCCAGCAGAATGCAACACCTGTGAAAACCTGCAAGAGATCCGTAGGTATTCCCTCCTTGTGTGCGTCAAAATGCTCATCTGCCCACTTGGCTGCGAGGTAATGTATGTAGAGCGCTGGGTCAGGTGCCTGACACATAGTAGGTGCTTAGCCAACGGTAGCTATTGCTCTCATCGTTGTCAATATCATGGGACTGCCATGGGCCTAGGAACAGAGCAGTATTAAGCAATGTATTTTTTAACGCGCACACTCACTCCCCCACCTGCTGTGACCATCCTCCTTTGATCTATTTTTGGCCATACGTGGGAAATCTCCTTCGGGAGTTATAAACAGCAAACATAGAAGCAAAAAAAAGCGGTCACTGGTATTTCTTTACTCCTGTAGGCAAATTCACCAGCTGGTGGTCACAGGCATGTGAGCTTGTTTGCAGCCCCTGCCTCCTGGAGGCTCCCATAACCATCTTTCTGACCCCCACCGCTACCCCCCTCCCAGCTATGTCAAATGTCTGTTTCTACCCAGCCCTGTCCCAAGGGTACCAGCCTTCACAGTGGGGCCACCATGGGCATTAGAAGTCTTGGTTGGAGTTATACCCTGTGGGTTCTTGACCACCATGCCTCAATTTCCCCCACTGGCAGTAGTTGCTCTCTCTTCGAGGTACAAACTAGATGGCATGTGTCGAGTCCTCAGAGTGTCTCCAAAGGTGGTGTTACAGACCCAGACTCCATGACACCTCAGCACAGAGCTTGGCACTTGGCAGATAAGAGATAATGACTAAAAGGAAGCCCTGTCCCATGCCCCGGGGCCTTTTGAGCCCTCCTTTCCTTCTTTTTTTAATCTTGCTTTTCACATGGAGCCCAACTGCACCTTAAGTTCCTCTGTGCCCAACATCACCCAAAGGAAATTCCTCCCTATCAAGGGCCCCCGGCTGTGCTGACACCAAGGCACAGGATATGTGGACAAAGGCAGTTCCAGAATAGCAGGTGCCTCTGTGCCCTCCCTTATCCAGGGCAAGGCCTGGTCCTCCTGCTTTTCCCCAGGGCTGCAGACAGGGCAGGGCTGAGGGCAGGGCAGGACTTCAGACAGGGCAGGGCTGGCTTCCCTGGCCCCTGGATGGCTGTTTCTGAGTGATACTGGCATGAGACTTGGCCTACCCTCCCAAAGGGCCCGCCTAAAGCCAAGTGGACTCCAGCCTTGAGATGGAGCAGGCTGGAAGCTTTTTAACACCTCCGGGGACATCTAGAGGCAAAGGCCAGCCAGCAGGCTCAATAGAGTTACGGGCACTTCAGATGGATTCACACCCAGAGCAATACCCCTTCATCCCACCTCCCAGCCAGGCATACCCAGTCCTATGACCACCACCATGTGCTCCTAGTAGATCATGTCTAGTAATAAAGGGTGGGATGGAGTTGCTTTGCCCAAGTTGGCCAGTACAAGGTCAGTCTACTATGCAGACCTTAGAAGAAGGGAACTACAGTTGGGAAATCAGGTCTTGGCCAGCTTCTCATTGGCTTGGTCTACACAGCCAAAAATTCAGACCAGATTAGACTTTTGAAGGCAGTTCTGCAACAAAGCATGTTCCCCTGCCTCCCAAAGCTTCCTAGCTCCTCTGACTGGGCACAGTCTTTGGGCCGGGACCCTGCCCACTGAGTGCTCACCAACTCATCATGTTGACAGCTCCACAGCCAAAGCATCAGGACAGCCTTCGAAGCAAACACCCAACCATCAGGACAGACACTAGGCACTGGGAAATACCTATAAGGGAAGAGTAATTGTAGGTTGGCATATGTAAATGCCTGGCAGCAGTCAGAGCACCTGCCCTATCCAGCAGGAACTCTCTGGAGTGGGAAGAGGGCTCCTGTCTTTCTAGAAAGTGATGCTGTGATCTGCTGGGAAGGTATTGCTGTGACCCAGGAACACAGCAGGGCCCAGCCCACCAGTGCAGTCTGCTGGCCAAGCTCCAGGCCCACCTCCGCCAAGGTCAGGTACAGGCCAGCACCCAGGAGAGAATGCTCACCACTCTGAGTAGCTTCTTGAACCAGTGAGCACCTGGGGACATGCTCTGGCAGGATGGCCGGTGTGTTCAAACTACCTCACCAATGGGGCACTGACCCAGGAGCCTGCCACCCAGCGGGCCCTTGGTTGGCTGTGGAAGTTGGTGTGTTCCCTAAAGTGCACCCCTCCCGTTGTGCTCCAAATGCATGGACTTCGAAAGCCACCACTAGGAAGCCTTTCCAGGAGCTGGAAAGGGTTGAGGGCTGTTGGTGTTCAGGTCTGTACGATGTATTGGGGGAGGTGTTCCCGCAAAGTCCAGGAGGTGGGAAGCCCAGGGTGCAGGGAATAATGTGCCATCAGCTTCCAAGGTGTTGGCCAAGTTGAGTCTGTAGCAATGACCACGTGTGACACAGTACAATAATGGCCAAATGAATCCCTGATAACTCACCATGGGATTCTCTGAAGAGAGGCCTGTGCTCATGTAACCATGGCAACAGCAAACGCCAGCAGCCTACTCTTAGTACCACCCGATGATAGGCATTCCCTGGGCACAACTCAAGGCCCATAAAGTAGCAAAGTAGCAAATGTAGCAATAAGAGGCCCAGGGCCGAAAAGGGACAGGGTCCACATGACCCAGCCTCGGCCCTCTTCCCAACCCCGACAAGGACTCCGAGGCAGGAGCTGCCAGCTGTCTGGGAGAGAGGCCCTGCTCTGTGCCCAGGGCTCCTGGTCTGTCTTCTCTGCCCACTCACCGCATGATCACAGACACGTCGGAATGGCCTTCTTGTAGTGCATGTGGTTCTTATTAGTTTATTTTTCTGGAATTTGGGGATTGGACCCCAGAACCAAACATGCTGGTACAATCTAAAAATAAATTACTTGAACCCTCTATAGTCCAGCGAACTCTGTGTGGCTCCTTGGTTTGGGGGTTCATTGGGCAGAATGTACCCAAAAATCTACCACCGCTCCCCACTCCCCACTCCTCACCCTGCCCCATTAAACACCTGCCTGCATCACACATGCATGCACAGCCTGTGAGCAAGGGGACTCACTCCCTGCAGGATGCTGGGACCGGACTCATCCTGGGAGGCTGGGAATGTTGTAGCACCAGAAGGCTAAGGCCCCTGACTCTACCAGGGTCTCCTTGGCTGGGAGGTCTCTATGCCCCATTTGCTGTGCTCAACCACAAAACCCAGCATCTGTGGCCAGACACAGCTCTATCACTCTTAAATAAAATCTGAAGGTCAAAGTCTGCTGCATACAGACGGTGCTCCTTACTCAGAGTCTTGGTTTCCTGAGTGACAGTCTCCTCTCCCTCTAACGCCAAAGCAATAAGACTTCAAGAGCCTGGAAACCAGGCTGACAAGAGGAGGAAGAGAACACAGTAAACACACACACACACACACACACACACACACACACACACACACATACACACTACTACAACCCTATGAACAATGAGGCTGGCCCCTAACAGCTCGCTTCGGTGGCAGAAATCTTATTCCTGGAAGTAGAAATGATCTCAGAGGTATAGGAATGGATCTTTGGTCACATTTACATGGAAATCAATTTGTCTCCCAACCTCTGGGCCAACTCCCAGAGCAGGACTTCCTGCGCCACAAGGTCAAGACCAAGGTCACACCAATGACAGCACCTGAAATGTCAGGTCTGCAGCATATCCCCAATGGCACATCCAGGCCCATCACAAAAGATCCATGCCTCCCTGTCTTCCCCGACCACAGCCATCACCTCCAGGGAACCTGGAACTCCTCCTCCCCAGCCAAGCCATCCGGCCTCTTTCCAGAATCTTGTTTAGCATGCTGTCACTGTACGCATGAACGACCCTGCTGAGCCCAGAAACAGATCTGCGTCAGGTCCCAGGCGGAGATGGGGATTTGGGGCTGTCGGCAATAACACTAAGAGCTGTGCCCACACGAGATTGCCTGAGACCCCCCTGACTGCTTCCTCTCTCCGCACACACTTTTGGGGACTTCTAGTATAAAGAGCATGAGTCTGGCCCTGGCCCGTGTGGCTCAGTTGGTTGAGCACCATCCTATGCACTGAAAGGTCTCAGGTTTGATTCCCGGTCAGGGCACATAACCAGGTTGCAGGTTCTATCCCCAGTTAGGGTGTGTACAGGAGGCAACCAATCGACATTTCTCTTCACACACACACCCCTTCCTCTCTAAAATCAACAAAAACATATTTTTTTAAAGAGCATGAGTCTGTCCTTTCCCTTGGGGCCAGCTTCCAATTGCTCATTGGTCCCAGTCTCCAAGGGACCGTCAGGGCCTCTGATGGGTGCCTCTGACCCTAGGCTTTTCCTGGGATGTGGTAACCTCCAAACTCTGCAGCTTAGAGAAGCATCCAAGATGCCCGCTCCAACTGGGCCACAGAGCTCTGCTGACACGCTTTCCCTCCACCTCCCTTCCTGAGCAGAAACGCCCAATGAACTCTCGGCTCCCTTTACTGGGACTTCCTTTAGTGCCTGCTGGGGGATGGGCGGTACGATTGCAGGATCTGTCCCAGGCCCCTCACATGCAGAGGCAGGCCTCCCTGGCCAAGGGGCCTGGCTTGTTTAAAAGAGGCTCAGGGTGGGGGTGCAGCCCAGCTTAAGCTCCACCTGGAACAGAGCTCTCTGTTCTTCTTCTGCTCCCTTAAAACCATGGGCTCAGTCCCCTCAGACCTTGGAGCTAGCCCGGCCACGTCTGGCTTATTTCAGCAGACAAAAAACAGCTCCTGATTGAGAGGGCTGAGCCACACACCTCAGTTGGAGCACGAGTTCCCCCATTTGTGAAAACAGGAATAAGATTTTTGAGATCTTAATTAAGGTTGTCGTGAATGTTACAGAGGGCCTAGCCAGTGTGTGGCACAAAGTAAATGCTCAGGAGATGGGTGCTATTATTAGCTGTTGCTGCACGGGAGAGGGGCACTGAGAAATGGCGGCAAAAGAACACATCTGCAAATCCCCACTGGGCAGCTTTCCCCGGGTGCCAGCCCCTGAGTGCCAGCCCACGTGCCAATAGGAGGTTGTGGGCTTTGTGCAGGTGGCAGCCTCGCTTGCTGTGACAAGCCCCTTGCTTTCTTCTTCCCAGCTGGGGCCTGGCTCCCTTACTGTCTGTCACTTGCATGGCCTCAATCGATAATCCTGCCTCAGGCCTCAGTAAATAGCACAAGAGAAGGCTGGGGGGCTCTTCCTCCAGACCCTGAATAGAAAACGTTAGAGGTCTGGCTGTCCATCTAGATTGCCATTTATCTGACAGGCCTCCGTGGCTGCTTCACGGGGATTTGGATTCTGAGCTCTTGCTCAAGATACGCCATTTCGGGCCAATTACTCAGACCTTGGCCCTAGAATGAGGGGCTGAACAAAGGCCTCTCCTCTCAGAACGACCAGTACGAACTCTGACACACGTGTGCCTTCTTCCTGAAATGGCCAATCAAGTCAATGAGGTCCGTGTAATCTCTTTCTCCCATCACATCGCGGAAAGACTGTTTCAAGTTGCGGGGAGAAGAAGGAATCAGGGAGGGAAGGTTTAAAAATGAGACAAGGGCTTGGAAGTCTCCATCTGCATCTCCTGCCCCATGACCATGCCTTCTTAGAGAGTAGGTGAATATTAATATTGAGAGGGAACTGAGAGGTTTTCTGTCCCATAGTGTGTGTGCTTACATTTTGTTTACTGAGCTATAATTTACATCCAGTGGGATTCACCCTTTTAAGATGTCCTTAGGACTTTTGCCCAACTTATATCAAAAATCAAGATAGAGAGTAATTCTATCATCCTGAAGTTCCCAGGTGCCCATATGTGGTTAATCTCCTCTCCCACCCCTGTCCCAGACAGCTATTGATCTGTTTTCTGACCCTATTGTTGCACTTTTTTTCCCCAAAAAAATAAAGTGAATTGTACAGTATGTGGCCTTTTGAGTCTGGCCTCTCTCACTTAGCACAGTGCACATTGTTGCATGTGTCAGCAGTCCATTCCTCAATGTTTTGTTGTTACACATAAATAAACTGAGGCGGAAGGCAGAGGGGAGGCAGAGAAGAGGTGGAGGAGCAGGGCCTGAATTCCAAGTCCCCACGACCACCCACCCTTCAGGTCCATTGGCCATACTTCTTTTTATAAAAAGCCATTATTTTTTTTTTTAACTCTCAAAGTCCATGAACCCCTGTATGAGAAAGCACATGATCACAGAATTGGCACACTGAGGAAAAAAAGCCTGATTATTCATCCTACAGGAGCTACTTCTGGGAAACTAAAGGGAGCAATGGTGCATATCAGAGCAAGGCATTATTTATTCAGTTAGCAAGTAGTGCTTCGTAGACCCTACCAATAACTCTGGAGCTCTCTCGTGCTTTCTCCAAATAGATTAGCATGGAATAATGAAGCATTAAAAGCTACCTGGAAGCAAAGTGCTGGAACAGACCCAGGGACAGAAGGATCTAGGGTACAGTGGTGCAGCCATGAAAAGCAGGCCAATTGAAGAGATAATTTGGGGATTCTCTCCATTAGAGATCTAAAAATCCAGAGGTTGCAAGTACTGGAGTTTCTTAAAAATCATTATAAACTCATAAGTTTAAATATATTTAGTAGATTTCAATCCATTACATTCATTATCCTTATTGATGTCCAAAGTGTCCCATTTTGGGCCAATAAAAGCCTATATATGATAGCTCCTGCGTCTTTTAGACATGACCTTGGCAGTCTTTGATAGCTCCATTGCTACCTGGTATGGCACAATAATGCAGAATCATCCCGTACACTCCCTGTCTCTTACCTAAGTTACAAGTGAGTGAAAGTCTAATGAATGCTTTGCAATAAAATCGGGGTTTCTATGACAGACTTTGCAATGACAATTGAGTGTCCCCATGCTTCCCAACTATCCAAATTGAAAATTCCTTAACAATCAACCAGCCTAGATCCTTCATTCCACAGAATAAGTAAGAGGCCCACAAATATCAAGTGATTTACAAAAGGCAACACAGGGCTACGGCAGTGCAAGGGTTGAAGACGAGGTCACCTAAATCCTGATCTTTTGTGATTCCCACAGCTCTACCTTTCCTTAATGTGTCCTCAACCCATCTAATCAAGCTTTTCCACTCAAGTCACATCCCAGCCTTTGTTGTGTGCTGAAAGGTGGAGAAAAAAAAAGTGGAAAATCCCTATTTCAAAACTTGCTATAAAGCTACAATAATTGGAATATAAGAATAGATCAATTGAATAAATCTGAGAGTATAAAAATAAATCCCTACATTCATAGCCAATTGATTTTTAGCAAGAGAACCAAAACAATTCAGGGGGAAAGAACTGTCTTTACAACAAATGGTACTGGAACCTAAATGAAACTGAAGTTAAAGAGTGAAGTTGGACTCCTACCTCACACCATATAAAAAAATTAACTCAAAATGGATAAAAAATATTAATACTGTAAAATTCTTAGAATAAAATATATAGATAAATCTTCATTATGTTGGATTTCGAGAGGGGGGTAATCCTAAGTGATTCTGATTTACAGTCAGATGGGAACCACTGGACTGGAGATTCCTATTTTTTTTTCAGCCTGAGAATTACATGGAAAGAGAGTTTGAATGAAGTCAGAAAAAGTCCTATCTATTTCTTTTCCAACCAAATGCCCACCTCTGTTCTCCATAAGACAAAGGTCCATGCACTGTAGTCTGGATGGACCCAGAATTTCCTAAAACAACTCCAACCTCCTACCCCTCTACTGGCTTTCTGCTTGCCACCCACACAAAGCAACCTGGAAGGTAGGTTCTTCACTTAGGGGTGAAGGATAATTATGAACACATCTGCACACACACATGCACTCACAGACATACACATGACTATGAGCTGATCTATTGAGCAGTTGTATGCTTCTCTTCATGCAAAACTTTGCC